GAGGGTGTGTGTCGGGATGATGGGTGAATAAGGGATGAGAGGGTGATGCGTGGGTGGGGATATGGGGGGATTGGGAGTCTGAAGAGGGGTTGGGAGGTCAGGTGGATGAGGGAATGTTAGGCAGGTGAGAGAGGATGGGGGGATGCTGGGTCAAGGAGGGGGATGATGAGGGAGGAGCAGGGATGTGGGGGGCTGAAGAGGGACTGGGAGGAGTGGGGGGTGTAGGGATGACGAGGTGGATGGGGCATGAGGGAGAGTGGGGTGATTGGGGCAGTGAGCCCCACCACTCACTGGGTGAGGGGGTGTGAACACTGGTGTCACTGCAGTCCTGTCAGCACTCCAGGGTGACTGTCAGCATGACGAGGTGTGTGACCGTGTGTGTCCGTGGCAGTGATACCAGGAACCTGCATGTGTGAGTACCACCACTGCATGGGGCGGTTTGAGGGTGCACTGGGGAGATACTGTCACATCTCTGCTGCTTTGCATGCCCACAGTGGCAGAGGACAGGGAGCATGAGTGTATCACACCCCCAGCACCAGGGCCAGGCTTTTCCCAACTCTTCCTCAGTCAATGAGGAAATGGAGAGACAAGGTCAAAACAAACACCACCATATAAAGCAAATCGCCTTTTAATACATAACCAAACACATGGGGTGAGTCTTAGGTCATCTCTTAACACCTCAGCATCATCTGGCTGCCAACAGCAGCACAAAGAAATCACAGAGTGGAAAATGAGACGCTGACACCAAAACAGACTTTATCTGCACAGACACAAGGTATAAAAAGACCAGACACCAGTCACAGAGCACAGGGGAGTCAGTCACTACCTCAAGCAGCAGACCCTGGCAGGGTGTCTCCAGCCCAAGATGCACCTCTTGCAGGACTGGGAACCCTTGATAGCCTGCAGTTGGGGCCATGGACTTTTTCACATGGGCTTGCAGGTGCTGGAATAACAGGAGCTGGTGAGCAGAATTCAGCCTGCTGCTTTTCTGGGTCCATATCATGGCTAGTCAACTCCTTGCCCTATATCCTAGGTGCTCCTCCAGGCCACTTCAGAGGGGTCTAGCATGTTCCAGCATTGCTCTGCTCCTAGCCTGCAGACAGGAGCTTGACCTTTCCTGAGTCACATAAACACTGCCACAGCAAGGCAAATCAGGACATATGAAGGAAGAGATCTAGGGAGACGAGGACTCTCCACACCAGGACACGTGGACTTGGTGCTGGCCCTGCACTAATTACCTGATTTCATTTGCTTATAAATACTTAATATAGGTGTGAGAGGCAGATGTGATGCTAAAGGGGATGAGTGCATGGCAAGAAGATGTGAAGGCCCCCAACCACTCTGATCTCTGATCCAATGTGGCAAACTAGCATGGTCTCAAATCAAAGGCACCCTCCTCCAGCATTGTTTTGCTGTGGGTTTCCCTGATGGGTCTGGGAGAATTTGCCCCACAGTGGGAACAATAAATTAATTCACAACCTAGGTTAAAAAATACTGAAAAGAAAGGGCTGTGCTAGGCTCCAGGACAACAGCTTGAAGGGTCCAAAGTGGGTCCAAAGTGGAGAAGCAGCTGGCAGTCACTTCATCCTTCCCCCTCCCTTCCTTCTCACAGAAGGGTCACAACTGACTGGTACCTACCGCTCCTAATTCCCCAGGAGGGCTGCTGGAGAGCCCAAATCCCTGAGGTGTGTCTGCTCTCACCAACTCCACCTCTCACTAAGACCCTTCAATGCTGCTGAGCTTCTCAAAATGCTTGGTAGCAAACAATTTCTAAAGCAATTTGGTCACCAGGGCTTCTGGAGGATATGGAGAGCACAGGAGGGAGGGAGCAGGGAGCAGCAGGGCTCGGGCAGGTGGAGATGATGTGAGGGTCCGAACAGCAACATGACAAGGTGGTCCACACACACAGGTGACAAGGACACCACACTGCATTCAAAACGGCTGTGAGGCAGCAGGTCCATCTGCAAGAGGCTGCCCCAAGCACATGGGCCAGCAAGCAGAGTGTCCTTCCTCAGACCCCAAGAGTCCACAAACCTCCTCACTGGCATGGCTGCATCTCCCTAAAAGACTTCTTGTTGAAAAGAAGCCCTAACCACTTCACCTTAGAACTGCTCAAAAGCATTGGAAGACAAAATCCTGAGTAGCCAAGGAAGCATGGGGCACCACCTGCAGGTATGAGAAGAGGTCACAGCTGCTGGTGGCTTTCCAAAATGTGCCTCCTGGTTTGCAGTGAGGCTTCAAAACAGGCTGCCCACAAAAGAGGGTGCACCTGCAGGCCCTGGCAGCACCCTTCACTCCATCCACACAAGTTGGTGCACCCCTCAGGTCCTGCAGCCCTCACACCTCACCTTGAGCTGGATCTCACAGGCACAGAGTGGCTGTGCACCCGTGAAGGGCACCGAGGGGCAGCCAGGGCCCTGTTCGGGTGATAGGGGTGCTCCCGCACCCACCTTCACAGGGACAGCTGCTGAGCACCTCGAAACTGAGCCTGGTGAGGAACATGGTGCTTCAGGGTGGTTCTCGCTGGGACAAGGCAAAGTGCCCAGCTGCTGGGGAAGAGATACTTTAGGGGCATCCCTAAGGAACTTGTTCTCATGTCTTAGAAAGCTATTTCCATACTGGCACTCTGGCAGCACAACATGGTCCATCCTGTGGGTGCTGGGACCTGCACTGGACTCCAGCAGGAGCCTACTGTGCTGCACTGGACCTGCCCCATCGCTTCTCTGAGGAGATGCCCCAGCCTGTGGGAGCCACAGCTGGTGCTGCAAGAACCACTTGTCCTCTCGGAGCACTGTCTGCTCCCTTTCCCAGGAAAAGGGCTCTAGGTGGGCTATCAGGGGCTGTTTGGGGAAGCCACCATCCACTGGCAGCTGGCTGGCTCCTAAGGGTGCTGATGCTTGTGCAGGGAGAGCAGCTTCCTCACCATGGAGGTCCCCATCCCCTGAGAACAAGAACTCATGCAAGCCTTGGGCAGGGCAAGGAGCAGGTTGAGAGGGGGGCGGCAACCACAGCCTGGCCCCTGGGGGGCTTTTGGAGCTGCCAGCCAGCCCAGTTTGGAATTCTATGTGTGTTTCTGCTGCTTCCAGCTGTTTAGGAGCTATGGCCATCCAGGCCTCCGAGGGGCAACATCCAGGAGGAGCACTCTGACCCAAAGCATTGGCTGAGTTTGTCTGGAGTGGGACGTGCCACTGAGTTACTAGTGTGTCTGAGTGCACTGGAGGTGGGCAGCTTGAGCTCACCAGCTGGCACCCAGGCTGGCTCTGAGCAGTAGGGAGAGTGTTATCTTCTGGAGCAGAGCTGGTGACTTCTGCCTGAAGCACTTGGTTTGCCAGCTGAAGTGCTACAGAGCATTTGCTGCTGGAGACTGGGACACCCAGCCCAGCCCCTCCCACCAGCCCAGCTGGGTCAAATGGGACCTGCTGTTGTGCTTGAGCAGAGCTGACCTCAGAGGTGACGGAGATTGGCGAGACGACAGCATCCTGGCCTTGTGTACCTGATGCCTGGGGCTGCAGTGGGGCTTGAAATGCTGAATTAGCTGCCCAGCAGTGCTGGAAATGAGCTACAATGCTGTTTTCCTCATTATAGGGTGATGCACTGCAGTGTGGAAAGTCCATGCTCTTCCCAGCATCCTCCCTGAGGAGCATCTGCTCCACATAGGATGTCACCTTGGTGCCTGGCCTCTTGCCAACCTGCTGAGCTGGCGGCTCCTCTTCCGCCCCCAAGCTGAACAGAGCCTCCTCCCACTGCTGCAGCTCTGTGTTGTCCATGCTGAGACTCTGGCAGGTGTTTCTGTCCACCTCACTCTTCTCAAAAAGGGTTTCGATAACCACCAGGAGGGAGTCATTTTCCTCCTTGGCATGACTGACGTCCTCATTCCGTCTCAGTCCATCGGGCTCAGCAATGAGATCTGGCAGGGAGAACTGAGGCAGGCTATCAGCATGGGAGCTGTATATGGATGCATCCTGCTTCATCATGGCCCCAAGGAGAGAGCTAGGGTCTACCAAGCATTGCTTTGAGTGGGATTTTGCTTGTGTCTGCAACTCCTCCTTGGGCTGGAAGGAGTGCAGGAACATGGGAAGGTCATTCCCATACAAGACTGCCTCCCCCGTGGCAAAGCTAAAAGGCAGCTGCAGGTTTCTCTTCTGCAGATGTTCCTCCCCTTCTTCATTCCTTCAGTGCAGAGGGAAAAAGACATGGAAACAGCATGAGCACCTCCTCTGTGCCAGGTAAAACCATCCTTCTGACAGCACAAGAGGCATTTGTGGCCCTGCCCTGGCTTTTCTATAGGAACAGGGTGCTGGATTGGGCTGGCTACAATGCTGCAGGTGGAGGACTGGGGAACTCTGGAGAGCCCGCCAGGAGGTCTGCATGGCTCAGGGAAGGGCTGCATGTCCGGGGCTCACCCCAGGCAGGACCATGTCCACAACCACCTTCTCAGAGCCATTTCACTCATGCTACAGGGGGGCATGTGCTGCAAAGTGCCAACCATGTGACCCAACAACCCTTTCCTCCACCCTCATCGCCTCTGTGAGCCTTGAGCAGCCCCACAGCCACCTGTGTCGAGAGCAGATGAAGAGACCCAGCAATACTCACGACAGGGCTCGCTGCCGGGCAATGATGCAGTCGGGTTTGCCTCCTTTGTACACCAGCCGCGCATTGGCCTGCACCCACACCCATCCACCCTTCTTGGTCAGCAGCCGGAAAACTGTCAGCCCGCTCTCCCCTGTCTTCATCACTGGGGCAGGGAGAGAAGAGAGGTGGCACAGAGTTTTCTGGTTTGTGTTAATAGTCCCACTCTCCCCTGCCATGGGCAGGGACACCTCCCACTAGACCAGGTTGCTCAAGGCTTTATCCAACCTGGTTTTGAACACTGCCAGGGTTGTGACACCCATAACCATCCTGAACAACCTGTTCCAGTGTCTTACCACCCTCACATTAAAAAATGTCTTCCTAATATCTAATCTAAATTTCCTTTCTTTCAATTTATACCTATTGCTCCTTGTCCTATTACTACAGTTCCTACAGTTCCTCTACAGCTTCTGTGTACGCCCTTCAGATCCTGGAAGGTTGCTATGAGGTCTCCACATAACCTTCTCTGCTCCAGGCTGAGCAGCCACAACTTTCTCAGTGTGTCTTTGTAGGAAAGATGCTCCAGTCCTCTTATCAGCTGCATGGCCTCCTCTGGACATGGTCCAACAGTTCCACATCCTTCTTGTTAGAACACCAGAACTATGTGCAGTACTCCAGACAGGGTCTCACAAGAGCAGAATAGAGGGGAAGAATCACCTCCTTTGACCTGCTGCCACACTGCTTTGGATGCAGCTCAGGACATGGTTGCTTTTCTGGGCTGTGAGCTCACACTGGAGCTCATGGTGAGTTTTTCATCAACCATCACCACCCAGTCCTTCCCCGCAGGGCTGTTCTCAATGACTTCTCTGCCCAGCCTATGGGTGTGTCTGGGAGTTCCTCCGTGGAGGCAGGAACATGTGAGATGCCACATGGTGGAATATCACCTTGTACCCGTGTTTTAGGGGCAGGTGAGGCAGGATGCTGCCAGCTTCTTGCGCAGGTCTCACCCAGGAGGAAGAGCCTTTAGCACAGCTACTCCAGACCCAGGATAGACCACCCACCAAGGAGCAACAATACGGCACAGCCAGAGCTGCACCAGTGCTGGGGAGCTGTGAGGGACCCCACAAACACAACCACCCCAAGAGCCCCCCCAGGCACTCACTTCTCACATGGTTCTCTGCGCAGTGCATCATGTCAGCCACGTGCACAAACTGGTACCCGGACCCCCTCCTGCACAGCTCCGTTTCTGTGTACCCCAGGACAACCTTCCCCCTGGAAACAGCACAGAAACATAGTGACACCAGGGATGGATCCCCCATAGTTGCACCCTAGTGGCCAGACATGATCCCCTGCCAGTGCCACATTTTGGGTGGTGCAACTGTCTGTCCCTGAGATGAGGGGACAGAGGTGCTGAACTGCATCACCTCTTCCACAAAACCAGCCCATGCTGGGTCTGCTGGCATAAACCACAGCAGCCAAGAAGTGCTGGTGCCCAGTTAACCAGCTCCCTGTGGAGGGCTGCAGCGGATAAAAGCATCAGGCACCTTGCCATGGAAGTGGGGTCAGAAGTTCCTTGTCCCTATGGAGTCTAGTTTTCTGTCCTGCACCAGGGATTTTGCCATGGGGAAGGTGATAGATGCCCTACCGGGAATCACAGGCCATGGGAGTGAAGTCTAGCTTGTGTTTTGTCTGAAAGATCAGCGTCTTGGTCCGAAGCTCCAGGATGGAGAGAGGCTGGAGGAGCGTAGCAATGGCGAAGAGAACAACTGGGGATTTGTCTGATGCTGAATGCTGCTGTCCAAGAAGGAATTTCAGGCGTCCACGGAAATTCAAGGCCTTAGAGGGGAGAAAATGCAGGAGTGAAGCAAACAAAGTGGTGCGAACTGCTGTGCTCCCATCCCTATGGGCATGAGCAACCCTGAGTGAACACACTGCGGGCAGAGAGGGGGCAGAGTGGTTTCCCAGTGTGGGACTGTGTTACCAGAAATCCCGAGGAGTTATCCAGCAAGCAGCGGAAGCGGCAGGTGAAGCTCCTTTCCACAAAGGATTGTTTATCAGGATGGAGATCCTGGAGGCTAGACATGGTGCTGCATCCAGCCAGCAGCAACTGGTCAGTGGGAAAGGCTGGAAAACCAAAGGGAAAATGAAGCTTTCCAAGCTGTGCTGCACACATCGAGCTCATGGCTCAGATCTGCTTCTGGAGGAGACTTTGCTGCTCCAGTGAAGCCATGATGTTCCCCCAGGGATCAGCCAGCGCTCACCGTCGGCAGTGTGCTGGGTGCTGCTGGGCGCCGGGGTCCTGTGCAGCTGGCAGCGGAAGGTGGCTCTGTCATCTGCGTGGATCAGCTCGTACACACTCTGGTAGATGAGATCCGACTGAAATCACACAAGGGAATAGTGCTGACTCCTGAACAGCCTGGCAGAGGTGTCTGGAGGAGGACACGGCAGAAGGTTTTCCCTTGTGGGTACTCAAAGTGCAGTGACTGAGTGTAATGAACAGGCAAACGTGACCAGCTTTGTGTGCTGTGTGGAGAGCAAGGACCAGAACTGGCTGCTCTTTTAGGGATGGCAAGAGAGCAGGGAGAAGGTCTGCCTGGGGAAATCCTGGGAATGGCTCAGAGGTTTCTAGAAGCAATAGAAGTGGCAATGTCCAGGTAACCCTGGCTGCTCAGGACTGTCCCACTGCTTGCTTCCCCAGCATTCCCTGGCCACAGCCAAGCAGAGCTTTCCAGCCTCTTCCCCACACCATCAAGGCTGGCATTCTCCTGGTGTTATCTAGCCCTTCCAAGGACGCTTCACACTGGCTCTAGCTGTCGATCCTAAATGGGAAATGCTGAAACTCCATCTCCTTCCCCTGCCACATGAGCCTATGCTCTTTGTTTTGAGAAGCTTCGCTCCCTGTCTGTGGGGTGAATGCATCTTAGCTTCCAGTGTCTTCTGGGGACCAGATTCAGATACAGCACCAAACAGGCTGTGGGGTATCCCAGGGGAATTTGTGGGGGACAAAATGCCAGTCTGCAAGAGCACACAACCTGTCTCCTGCATTGCCATCCCTGGTCCTCTGCAAATTTCTTCCACAGGATCAATGTAAAAAATAATTCCAAGGTTGATAAGAAAATGTTTTGACCAAACCAATTTATTTATTTTTAGACTTACGCAGTGGGATTTGCTGTTTTATAAAAAGGTGTTGGAGGTTTTATTTACTTGAAACCCATGGAAATCTGTATCACTGGGGTCCTGCCAAGCCCATGGGCAGCTCACTGACTGCCATGCCCCTGCCCTCAGCAACATATTGGAGCAGAGTCTCCAGCTAAACCAGATGTACTTTGACAAGTCCAGTCCCTGCCTGTAAGCAGTTTTGACTTGGGACATCAGCCATGAGCATCCCATGTTGCTGGGAAAGGGAGCAAAAGGAGGAAGAAGAAGCAAACAACATCAGCCTCCATAAGTGCTCCAGGAATCCATGCAATGAAATGGGTCTGGCAGCCCCACAGCCCTCCCATTGCCTCAGTCCTTCAACCAGAGGAGCAGGATATTGGGAGAATCAGAGGTAAGAGGGTGGACATGGAGAGAGACCTGCTCTTCCTTGGCATCCTGTGTACTTCAGGGCACTGACATTGCTCACTGGTGAGATACCCTCAGCCCTCTAAGTGAGGGCACATGTGCCCAGCAGCTGCCACAAGAGATCTCTCACACCCCTCCTACACACAAAGGCAAGAGGACACAGAGCTGCCATGGCTCAACTGGCATCTGTTCCCACTAAAGTCACAAGAACACTTGTTGGCTTTCACAGCCCCCAAATAACATGACTCATTTGGCAATGAACAGCAAAAATGATCCAAGTGAGCTGGGAAAGGAGAAGAAAGCCTTGGCATGGCTGTTGGCACCTCCTTCCCAGACCCAGACTGCAACCAGGGCAACACAGTACTCACCTGATGGAAGCCCAGGTAATCCTGCACAGTAGGAGAGATGTAGAAGATGTAGCCATCTCCAGTCACAGCGATGACAAATCCATTGAGTGCCTGAAAGAAGTTGAGCCCAGAGTTACTCTTCCCAGTTTCAATCCAGCTGCTGAAAGATGAACTTCCCCAGCTGTTTCTTCAACACTCAGGGACAGGAAGGGACCTTCTTCATCAACAAGCAACTCCACAGAGAAGGAAAGCATCATGCAAGACATAATTCTGTTGGGTTTTTTTTGTTCCCAGCATGAGCAATGACCCAAGATGGACTGACCACATTCTCCAAACCATCGTAGAAGTCCTCTCATGGCAGGGCAGCTCCTGCATCAGGAGGGACCAGCTAAGGAGAGGTTTCATGGAGGATCTCGAGAGGTTCCTCCTCTCCAGCTGTACCAGCTGGTTATAGCCACCAGGTTCCAGGGCTCTGCTTTGGACACGATGATCCTTGTGGGTCCTTTCCAACTCAGGATATCCTGGGATTCTATGATTTTCTCTAACAAAACCTGCTTACAACTTCAATAACAAGCAGCAAGTGGTGGTGTAGAAGGAAGAAGGGCTGCCCTAGGACATGCAGGAGCCTCGTGACTCCAGAAGACGTCTAGAGTCAGTTTAAGCTAATGAAGCCTAGAGAGATAGCAACCAAACTAGAGTCACTCCCTGACTAGACCCATTTATCCACTCATTAATTTTAAGGATGACCTCCAAAGACACTTCAGGCCTGGCTTCTCACCTTGAATTTTAGAGATAGGAGGTGATACAAGCTTATTTCTCTCTGTCTTCTCCCTACACTGCCTCCAATCACCCCCCAGAAAAACCTGCTTTTTAATCCTTAGCACCCCAGGGCACCACTGTCCTCAGCCTCCTGCTCTCAGCTCTGAGGGCATGGGAACAACTCATCACCATGTGATGTAAGACCTAATCTTGTCACTGACATCATTCAAAGATGCTGACACAGCTAAAAACAACATCCACCTTGACAGCAAAAGAGGCAGAAAAATCTGGAAACTCAGATCCCAGATTTGTGAAGGCCTTGATGTTGCATCAGAGAATCCCAGAATGGTTTAGGTTGGAAGGAACCTTAAAGCTCCTCTCATTTAACCCTCTGCCATGGTCAGGGACCCCTTCCACTAGACCAGGTTGCTCCAACCTGGCCTGGAACCGTTCTAGGGATGGGGCAGCCACAACTTCTCTGGGCAACCTGTGCCTCACTACAAATTAGGGAAACTGTTCCAAAACTATAGGAGATGATGGCTGGGGTAGAGGGAGGGGAGCTCACACATCTAGTGAACACCCAGAAAATGAGGCAGGATGAAGATTCAGAGATACCTGGTGACCATTTCAGACTAATTTCCTCCAAAAGCAAAGCACTGCACTAGACAATAACTCTTCCTCTTTGCTCTTGTCTGTCATATATTTAATTTATTAGTGATCAGAAAGAGAGAAACTAGGAAAAGAACACCCTAAATGGAAGGCTAATGTACAGATCCAGCTTACCAAGGGACCAGTCCCTTCCCTTTGTGTGCTGCAGCCCCCAAGGGGCCCTGAGTCATAGTTCTGTGCAAGCACTTGGGGGTGGCAGGAAGCCACCAGGCAGCTCAGCTGGGGGATTTCTGACACATTAACACCTCATAAGCTCTCCAGATGCCTTCAATCACCCCAGCCTGCCAATGCTGTGGTGACTTAACAAATTGCCATCATATGGTCCAGCTCCAAACCCCTGCAGAGTGCTCAGGAGCAGCTCCATTGTGGGACTGGGGTCACCACAGCCTATCATGTTATTCCAGCTGTTCCTCTGTGACTCTCACACTTGCAGACAGCTGGAGGTGAAGCCCACATGGGAGATGTCATGTGGGCCAAGCTTCAATGCCAAAAGTCACACTGAGCTCCCAGGAGTCATTGCCTCACCAAAATCCCACATGGAGGATCATGTTGGGGGGCTGCTCACCCTCACCTGCCTCCCATAAGGCTGTGCAGGAGCAGGGTTGAAGGGACCGAAGTCAGATTCTTAGGAGAGCCAAGCATCCCCATCTGCTGGTGTTTGGAGAGGTGGGAGAAGGGAGACGAGGACTGAATGCCTACAAAGCCCACAAGAAAGCTGGAGAGGTACTTTTAACAAGGGCATGTAGGGATAGGATGAAGGGGAATGGCCTCCCACTGACAGAGGGCAGGGTTAGGTTCCATATTGGGAAGAAATTATTCCTGGCAAGGGTGGTGAGGCAGTGGCACAGGTTTTTCAGAGAAGCTGTGGATGCCCCATCGCTGGAAGCGTTCAAGGCCAGGCTGGATGGAGCCCTGAGTAATCTGGTCTAGTGGAAGGTGTCCCTGCCCATGGCAGGAGGTGGAACCAGATGGGTTTTAAGGTCCCTTCCAGCCCAAACCAGTCTGGGATTCTATGAAAGCACAGGCACATGTGATGCAGGAACACAGAACAATAAAAGTTCTTGCATGGACTTGCTCTGTACCCCCAAGGAGCAGCATGTTTTAAGTTGACATGCCCAGATGTTTATTCAATAACCAGCCTTACCATGTGACCTTTCCATCCCAGTTCCTTCCAACTTACCTTTACAAACTGCAGCCCAAACAAACAGCATTCTGTGTGGGTGATTCACCAGCCCCTTGTCCTCTGAAGCTCACTGACAGCTGTTTCATTAGGCACACACTGGCCTTGCTACAAAGCAAAGCTCCCACTGCCCACTGATTTTGTCTACCACTGTTTTCCAAGACCCATCTTCCCTTCTTTTCTCCACCACAACCTACAAACTGAAGCTGGACTTTTTCCATCCCAGGCAGGCTGCAAACACATCCTTATGGAGCCCACACAAAGCCCCAGGTAGAGCAAAGAGTTCCTGGGGGATGTTTTATCCCGCAACCATCACAATAGAACATATGGAACCCACCAACTCAGAGACTAATCAAGGATCAATCCCAGGTGATATCCCTGCACCTCTTGGTTGGGATGGAGCTTGGGACCATGAGGTACAGCATAATCAGAGGAGCAGCAAATTGAGGTGGGGATGGGAGGGAACAGTGGGGATGGGGAGCTGGACCTCTCCAGCCAGGCAGAATCACTGGTCCCTGTCACAAGGTGCTCATTGCCTGCAGAAATCACAGTGAAATAGCTCTGAGCAAAGCAGGGTCTCCTCTTGCTCCACAGATGGGACCATATGCTCCAGAGCAGCTTGAGAAGACCCCAAATGGCCAAGCTATGACATAATACCTGGAGTAGCAATTCCCCCTCAGGAAACAGCTCCCTGTTGACCTGTGGGTCCATTCGTCTGCTCCCTCCTGGGCCTCTGGGCTGATCCAGCACGCAGTCCCCAACCTTTGGAGCTGTAGCTGCAAGTGAGAAGGCAAGAATTCAGTGTGGAAGGGGCAAGCCAGGAGCCTCTCCCTCCTTCTCCCCACCCCACCCCACGCAATCCCATGCCTGTGTACCCAGCTTGGAGGAAGGTGAGACCAGTGGGAACTGGAGCAGAGCCCATTTATAGAGCCATGCCCAACTTGCCCAAGGCTTCCTCCAAGAGACTATTTCCCCTGCTTGATACCATTTCTGGGAAATCTCACCATTTTCATCTCTCACCATCTCATTTCTGCCAAGGTCTGGAAGATGAGTGCTTCTGGGATGCCCAGGCTGGGAAGCCCCACTCAACAGAGTGCAAAGTCTTTGGGTTAGAGCCTGGTAGAGTTGGCTTCAAGCCATCCCAGTGCCACAAATTCTGCACTTCTGCCCTTCAGGGCTGAAGAAAGATGGAGGAAAACCTTCCCAAATCATCTAAGTTGCCATCAAATCCCCCCCTTTTGTTTTCGCCCTTCCATCTTTGGCTGCTCGGAAGCAGATCAGAGGGTTGGTAGCCGTGACACTCCCACTGACACCTGAGCAGCTCTCAGCTCCCAGGACTCGCTTCCATGACCTCCCCAGGCTGATTCACGTGCTACCTCATGCTTCCTTGCTAGATGCCTTCAAGGCAACACCCATGGGTGCAGACAATGTGAAACCTCCTGCTGTCCTGGTTGCAGGACCTTGAGCATCACAGGACACACAGAAAACTGGTTATACAGGAAACAGGAATGAGGACAACAGCTCCCAGGGACATCCCCAGTGTGGTACTTCATCTGTGGCTGTCATTGGAAAAACTCAATCCAAACTCAGCATCCAACAAAAGGAGAATTTTCAAGGCATGGTTTTCTGCCAACAAGAAAAACAGCTCAAAGCAGTCCTCCTGTGGGAATCAGCTCACCTCTGCCACCACCACAAGCTCCTGTAGTGCCCTGAGCTTGGACAGAGCTCACACATCCTGTGTGACCCACAACCCAGCAAAGCATCCCTGCCTGCCCCATCTGAGCCCTGGGTGTTGGATGGTGCTGCACGACCTTGGCTGGATCCAAAGGGAAAAGATCCTATGAATTTGGGGGAACAGTAAGAAATGAGGAAGAACCTCAAACCATCCCAAGTCTGACCATCCATTTGATTTTTTTCTCCATGGCAGAAACTCTCACTCTACAATTGAAAGGTTTAAAAGGTTTGTTTGGTTTCCCTGGTAACACCAAGTTCAAAGCCAAACCATTTCAGAACCCACAGAAGTTTCATGTGAAACTGCTGATATGAGACGTTTTGCTTTGCACCAAACCATCGATGTGCAAAAGCATTTCCCCATATTTGTAATAAAACCAGTTTGGGGTCAAAACATCCCTCCAATGTATTTACATGTGGAGTCTGAGTGACAACAAGCACCTGCCCACGCAGGCTGTCAGCAACCAGGGGCATAGCTAAAGGTAAAAGTAATTAGCTGCAGTTCTTGCACAAGGTGACACAAATAGCAGTGGAGAGGATGCTCTGAGCTCATGGGCAGAATTAGCCTTGATCTCTAACGCCAGTAGATCTGGGATACTTCTTCCTCTGCCAAACTCTGAGTCTCCAAACCACCTTTGCCATCAGTTGCATCTTCTGCCCTTTTACATCCTGTGCCCTCAGAGGTGGATCAGCCAGGTCGGGGGATGTGAGACCTCTGGGAAAGGCCGGGAAAGATGAAATTCAACTAGGCGTCACCAAGCAAAAAGCCTCCTCACACAACTGCCATGTGATCCCCAAGGAAAAGCATACCAAGCCCATCTGGACCACGGGCATGGCTTCAATTTGCGCTTCATGGAGTGGAATAGTTTCAAAATGAAACACCAATTCTATTTTGAAATTTGGATTCTTTTGAAGGGTTGACTCCTCTCTAAAGCACTGAAACGAGGCAGGCTAGCAGGAGGTTCCAAAAAGAAACCAAGTTCTTCCAAAACAAAGCTCCCAAAGGGCAGAGAGCATTTTGAGAGGATGCACATCCTGAGAGCATGTGGTCTCCAGTTCCCTCCCAGTGCCCCCTAGCAGAATCTGCAGAGAGAGTTGCTGTGGGCTTACAGAGTCCAATAGGAAACACCTATTTTGAGCTTTCTGGCAAAATTATTTTTTCCAACTCTCCCACTGATCTTAGCAATTCCCACCAGAGATGCTCACTTCTCTCAAACACAGAGCAATCCATTACTGCACAGCTGAGCTAGAAGACCCTGCAGGATTTATCTCCCATGGGACACGCTATGACGACCTGGTTTGGGGAGAAGGTCTGGAGCGTGGAGAGAAGGGAGCTGGCTACCATCAGACAAAATACTGGTGGTGTAGAGCAGGTGGTGCTCATATCCAGCCCAGTCCTGACCATCCACAGCCAGAGGCCAAGGAGATGCCAGTGTGTGGCCATAACACATGGCACTCTCCATGAAAATAATCCAGGAATGCTAGATTCTCTTTACTTTCATCAGCACTGCAACACCCTGGCCCAGTCTTGTCTTTGCAGAGGGTTTTTCTGCTTCAAGAAACATCCATCCTGCTGGGAATGGGCAGTGGTGGAGGGAGCACCCAGCAGATATGCAAGGCTGAGGTTGTTCTCAGAAGCCACAGCCATTCCTACACAGTCCAGATGATCCAGACCTCATATACCCATTTCCAGGAGGTGACCTCTTAATGACTGGGCGTTCTCCTCAACCAACAAGTCAGGAGCAAAGTGTCCCTGTAGTTCTCCTCCTCCAAACAGGTCTCTAAATTCATCCTCGGCCAAACTGCCAAGAACCACAGGGGCTGGGAGCAATCCTAAGCACATCCAGATAGAGAATTCCAGGCCCATGTAACCAGCAGCGCTACAGGTGCTATTCCCAGTCACCTTTTGACTTGGGAAGGAAAATCAAAACCATTTTAATCATACCCCAGCACATCTGCAACATGGAAACCTCATGGGAGGGAGAGATCACTCCTGAAACATCCCCCATTTGCTTGAGACAAGAAGGGAGATTTCTGTCTCTAGAATACCATCCAGAGCCACAGGTCCCTCGCTCTGATGTAGACGTGTCTCCAAGGGGCTGATGGCTAAGATGGATGGAAAACAATGGATGGCAGGAAAAAGAGGAGATCCCTGTCTGCTGTCAGATGGGAAAAGCAGGTAGCAAGCTGTATTCCAAGCTGGCTAATTACCCCCACTTAATATAGTCCTTTTGATGGACCATTACATGTTGAGACTCACTTCCACATGAAGCAGCTGAGACCCTGAAGTTCATGGAATTGAAAGAAACAGGTATGACATGTATCCAAGCTATAATATACCCACAGTGAAAGAGAGAAGCGTAGGTAAAAGGACAATGCACTTTTGCTGTTTGTGCTCAGTTTTTCCAGACTCCACCTGTACATCCTTGAGAATCAATGGGAATTAACATGTGGACGTGGTGCTAGGGGATATGGTTTAGTGGTGGGGTAGGCAGTGCTGGGTTAATGGTTGGACTCTGTGATCGTAGAGATCTTTTCCAACCTTAATGATTCCCTGATTCTATGAAGAAGAGCGTGACAAAAGTCACCTGCAGTTAGTCAATAAGTTCCAGGCATGTGCTGAAGCAATTTGATCACTTGTATTTTCCAAGTTCTGGGCTAGAAGCTATCTGTGTACAGTATTTTTAAGACAGGAGGGAGAAATCCATCTCTGTCCTGAACCCCAATGCCAGTTAGAGCACTGGAGGAGGCTTCCTGCTGCTGGTGTGATCCCCAAAGGCTTTAAATCAGCCTGAGAAGATGCCAGCCAGGATCAATGCCTCAGGATGTGCCCTGTGAAAGGACTCCAGCACAAGTGCTATGAGGAAAGGCTGAGGAAGCTGGGGTTGTCTAGCCTGGAGAAGAGGAGGCTCAGGGAGACCTTATCACCCTCTACAACTCCCTGAAAGGAGGTTGGAGTCAGGTGAGGGTTGGTCTCTTCTCCCAGGCAACCAGCAGAAGGACAAGAGGGCACAGACTCAAGCTCTGCCAGGGGATGTTTAGGTTGGAAGAGATTTTTTTTATGGAGAGAGTGATCAGGCATTGGAATGGGCTGCTCAGGGAGGTGGTAGATTCACCATCCCTGGAGGTTTTGAAGATGAGACTGGATGTGGCACTTAGTGCCATGGTCTAGTAACCATGGTAGGGTTGGACTTGATAATCTTGGAGGTCTTTTCCAATCCGGTTGATTCTATGATTCTGTGCATCCCCAAGAGCATACCTTTGACTTGGCTTTCTTGCCTCCGCGAGGAGGTTCCTATGCTCCGTAATGTGGAGAAAAGACCTCAGGCAGGAGAAAGAAGGAAAAAGGAGCAAAACAACCTAATCTCTTCACCTTTTGCTTGTCACACTCACAAAGAAAAACACAGCAAGGTGGCGATGGAGGCTAAAACACATCCCTTGCCTCTGGAATGGATTTGGCACTGAAAAAAGGAAAGGTTATTGGTAATAACGCCAAAGTTAGTTCTGCTGTCATGGATTGAGTGATACCAGTGAAAGACAACAGGCTTCACCCACCCCAAGCATTTGTCTTTGAACAGGCTCCAGAGATACCTGGCATCAGAAAACCAGGAGCTCCCTACTCTTCCAGCAACATCGAGCCGTGCATAACTGTTTTCCTCTTGGATCTGATCCCAAACCCATCAAATTAGCACCAACCTTTGCCTCAGCTGTTTAACAAAGGCATCATGCCAAGCAGAGCAGGCTCATGACATCCAAGTAAAACAGACAAATGCCAAACCCACAGATTATAAATCTATTAGAAAAAGTCACCTAGCATTTTTGGAGGAGCACAGAAATGCCCAGGAGAGCTCTGGCATCCCCAAAGCCCACACCAGCCTCTCCAACCTGCTGCTACAAACATCCATCCCACACAGTCCTGCAGGATCTCGCCCAGGCATGGGTTTAAGCTTTACTCTTTTCACTGCATCAGTTACTTCAGGCCCAAACTCCTGCAGTTCTGGCCCATGGTAACAACAAACAATGAGGAGATGAATAAAAAAAGCTAATTTAATGCTGATTGCAGTGAGATTACCCGGTGATACCTGCTGCCAGCTGCCCTGCAGCACAGCACTGGGAAGGAACCTGGTGAGTCCAGCAGCAGTGGTGGGAAAGGACCTGGTGAGACCTCCTAAGCCAACCTCCTGCTCAAGCAGGGTCAGCTGGAGCGAGTTTCCCAGGAAAGATGGCACAGATGGAGATCTTGGATCTAACCTTCCTAACTGCAGCAGTGCAGGGGTGATGATTGACTCGTGGGAAGCACAGACCTGGGCGGATGCATCCTGCACTCCTCCATGGGCAGGTGAATGGAGACCCACCAGCACTCCAGCAACCATGGTGGTAGGACCATGCCAACCAGCACATCCCTGCTGGAAGCCAGATGTGGAGAAGACAGGCTTGCTGCATGCCACAGCCTGTGCAGCACACTACCCTGCTCTCCCTCACGCCTGTGCAGCAGGCCAGATGTGTTTGGTGGAGGTTTGGCCGGAAACAGAACAGGGACACACACATGGATCACATGTTCTCAAAAATGCACACATGGAAAATGGCATCTCCTGCCCCAGGCTGGCATTGGGCTGGGTATGGGTCTGGGGGCTACAGGGAGTGACCCCATCATTTGCTGTTTGTTAGGGGCCATTAGTCACCTCAAGCTTTGCCAGCCTGCAGACTGTGGTCTCCTACCAGGACAGGTTCTGAAAGTGGGCATGGTTAGACGGGATACTGGGAAGAAATTTTTCCCTGTGAGGGTGGTGAGGCACTGGCACAGGTTGCCCAGAGAAGCTGTTGCTGTTCTATCTCTAGCAGTGTTCAAGGCCAGGTTGGATGGGGCTTGGAGCAGCCTGGTTGAGTGGAAGGTGTCCCTGCCCATGGCAGAGGGTTAGAACAAGATGGTCTTTAAGGTCCCTTCCAACTCAAACTGCTCTGGGACTCTATGATCCTCTCTATTGCAGACCTCACCACCTGGGTGACCCAGGAAGAGGGAATGGCAGCACATTCCCTTAGCACACACTCTCCACCTCACAGAGCATTTTAAGCCCCATTTTCTTGCTCACCCTTGGCAAAGCTACATCTGCAACCCCCACCATCTGCTTCTTTTGTTACAGGAACTGTAGGAAATGAACCCCAGCACAGCTTCCCAGCTAGCTGGAGGTTTTCCAAGCCACTCAGCACTAAAATCCATCCAAGCTTTCAAGAGATCTCCCTATTTGCAGCAAGTGGGGGTCCTGTCACACCACACAGAGCTCAGAGCATCACGGCAGTTGGCAGCACTGCAAACATAGAGACAAGCTTTTCTCCTTGGGCACTTGCTCTCAAAGAGACAGGGATCAGCAAAGTCACTCCAGATTTGTCTGGGAGACTGTCAGACATAGGTCCAAGTAGCAACCACTGCAAATTGGTTTGCAGACAGGAGCTCAGCACAAGTCTGGCAGTGAGGTTCAGTCATTTTTCATACAAGTGACAAAACCTTCAAAGTGCCTTTAAGGCAGATTTTGATAGTACCAGAGTTGTCATTGCTACCCACCAGCACTCAAAGGCTGAAGCTGAGGAGCACAGCTTGGAAGAGACCAAGCCCTGAGCCCCTACCTTGCCATGTTTTATCCGTATAACCTTGGGTAAGATGGATTTGGAGCTTGATGATCTTTGAGGCCTCTTCCAACCCAAACCATTCTATGATTCTATGAAACTTCCACGATGCTCAAAGCAGGTTCTGACCCTGGGAGTGTGGAGGAGCTTCATCCAGGTGACAAGAACAAACACAAGACTGCTCCGTCTGTCAGGTCCCCACCTGAGATACAGCTACAGGGCAAGCTGCTCTCCACATGTGCGTCAACCACAGCTGGTGACAAGTGACACCAAAAACAGAGGGAGAGGGAAATCTGGACTTCTGAGGCTATTCCTCCCCTTCTGACTACAGGGGAGAGTCAGCCCAGGGGATACAGCCAAAACCAACCTGCTTAGATTTTAGCAAACGATCTCAAAGTCCCGTCCCATCTGACCCCAGCGGAAGGAGCTGACAGTCATGGCCAATCCATGGTCAGGACAGTTTTTCTGATCACCCAACTCAAATGCCAAATTTCCATTATTTTTCTCCAACTAGCAGAGGGAAGACTGAGATAACCAAGCAGCAGAAAGCTGTGCAACATCTTCAGTGCTTGCACCAGGAGACAGATGTGCATGCCCCAGATCAGTCTGTGAAGGCATGGAGCTCCAAGTTTCCTTCTCTATGCCTGAAGCTTGACATTTCCAGCAAACTACTGATTTTTCTGGTTTCTCATCAAAGCACAGACAAGAGAGAACATTTAAAATCAAAGCAGATTTAGAAGGTGATGCAGTGAGTCATTACCCTGCAATGGAAACCAGGATCCCACCCAGATGGTGAGACAAGTTCCTTTCCCTAGTATCCACCATGTAAGCAGGGACTGATATCAGCATCCAAACCCACTGTGGGCAGTCTTCTGCTCTGTCCCACTCAAGACACTGCCCCAGACCCTGATGCCCGACTTCCTACACCCCATTAAGCAAGTCTGCTCCCATGCCAGAGGTACACAGGACCCACATCTCAGAAATACCATAGAGGATGGAGAAAACTGGAACCTCCTTCCTCAGATTTCTCATCATGTAAGAATCCAGGCAAGATGCAGACAACATGGGGAAGCTCCATTCCTACAGCTGGAGGGAGCATGAGAAATGCAGTGCAAGGAGAAAAAAGGAGCCTCAAGGCATCACCCTGAGCCCATGTGCAATGGTCTATCAATTGTCTGGAGATAACGCAATTATCAGTCTATCAAAATATCTATCTATGTCCTGCGTGGATATAAGGCCTCAGGTTCGGGCTACAGAAGGAGAAAGAGAGAGGGCAGGGATGCTCAGCAGGTGATGCCATGCTCTCCTTCTGCAGGAGAGGCGCCTGAATGAAGTAGACAACAGCAAAACTGGAGCAGAAAGCACAGCTCAAGGGGTTTCCCCATCCCCCTCCAAAATGCCTGACGGAACAAACCAGGAGCTGCTGTGACTTGCAGCTGACACGGGTCCTCATCAGGCAGGGCTGGAACTGAAGCCGACCCTGATGAATCGCTGGGATGATCTGAAGTCAAACAAGATGAACTTCAGGGCAGACAGGGGCAGAGCATGGGGAAGGAGCTGGAAATCACAGGCCAGTGACCAAATGGGAGTAATTGGCCTGCAGAATGGGTCTCCATGGAGGAACATGAACCCCTCCAATGCCAACTGCTTTTCCGGAGCAGGTCTCATGCTGGGAAGCACATGCTGAGCATATCCAACGGGAAACACTTCTGCTCAGAGGCACAGATACCATCTGGAGAGTTTGGCATAGGGAGCTCCTTGCAGGGATGAGCATCCCAGCTGGAGAGGGCACTCGGAGAGCCCTAGAGAACTGGGCATCAGGAAAAAGCTAAGGGAGCCAAGTTAATTCAGTCTGAAGGGGGGAGAAGACACGATTGGAGTCTCCAAGTATAGAAAGCTGCTGGTGGCTTCCTGCCCTCCATGTGCTCTGCCTTCACCAGTGTCCATCACCCATTCCATCAAGCCCAAGGCTCTGGAGATGATACATGTTCCCGTCCATGCATCCTGGTGACTCATGGGAAGGTGGTGACTCCCCCACTGTCAGGCTCTGCACCCCCATATCCCCTCCTAGCCCAGGCACATGCTGGGTGCCACAGGCTCTGGCTGTATCTGTGAGGAGGGATGATTTAATGCTCTGCCAGCACTGCTTGGGTCTGAAGGACCTGTGGCATCCCCAAAACATCACACAGTTCCCCAGCCCAAACTAGGTGGTTTTTCTTTTCCAAGGATGTTGCTTTTCTGGGACACCAAGCACCCATAGCTGACCAAAGAGAATTAGACTTGGATGTGTAGCATCCAAACATTAAGATGATTCCTTCCTTCCAGAAAACACAGAGACTTGCCTGTGGTGATTCCTTCCAGAGAGAACACAGATAAAATTTGTCATGAAGGGTAGATGTGCCATGAGCAACCACTGCTGATTCATCCACATTTTGGGAGATGAGGCACTTTCCTTCCTAGTTTTCTATTTTTGGGCCAGTACCTCAGCAGAAGGTGCCACACTGTTCTATCAACATACAAGGGTATGATCCCACAACTCACCATTATCCTGCCTTCAGGAAACACAACTTTTCAACCCAGAGCTTGGGGGTGGGACGTGAGCTGTGCTGTGAGGATTGACCTCAGGGGCTTTTTCACCCTTGGCAACATGGACACTCACCCATCAGGTAGCTCTTCATCTTCAGGTATCCAACAGCCAGCCGTAGGATGGAGAGTTTGTCCAGCCTGGTGCGTACATCCTCAGGGAAAGGCAACAACCCTGTCAGCTTACTCAGCTCCTGGTTGAGCCGGTCTCGATGCCGCTTGGAGGGGTTGGACTTCACACCCTCAGTGGGTGGTGGTTTGGGGCTGGAAGAGGCAAAGGAGAGTTTAATCAAACTAGGATCATCCAACAGGCTCTTTCCAAACCCAGTGTTGGCTATGGTGCAGTCACAACAGTAAAACATCAGGTGGCCAAGGTAAGCAAGTTCCCGCAACGCACAAGGCAATGGTTAGAGAAGACACGGACATCCCAGCTGGCTACTCTGTGCAGCCCAGATGTGGAAGATCCTCCTTAATGCCCAGCCTGGTTGAGACAGCTCACCTGGATGCCACAGCCTTGCTCCCATC